GTTCAGAGCCAGGCTGGGCTTCGTTTCTGCTCCATCCTCCAAGTCCCTTGGAAAGAGGAGCCCAGGACTTGATGAAGGGATGGAAAGAATCTCGTAGTCAGTCATTTCCTACTGCGATAAATCTCTCGGGTGAGCAGCGCTGAGGCAAGGACATAAATGACAATGGCCACACTTCCACAGTTGACTGGATTATAAAACCAGCCACAGACTTAGGACTATATGTTCCCAACAATGCATCACACGGAGGCAGGGAGGGATGAAGGAAGGGAAGAAGAGTGAGTGGCTGAGAAAGGAGAGGTTTTTACACCGTCCACCTTGGGACTGAGCTAGTGATTTTCCTTTCGTTAATGCTCTTTAAGCAAAGGCATTTTTCCTACCAGTGGATCCACATGCATAGCACAGGCTCTTGAGTTACAGGTGAGGGCTGGAACCTTGGCTCTGCCATCTGCCAACTCTCTGACCCAGCTAGTTTCTTGGCCCTGTGTGTCTTGCTTTCTGTATCTGCAAAATGTAGAAAATAATCCCACCTGCCTCATTGAGTTTTTAGAAGAATGAAATAAAGTGATTCTTATTGGGGCTTGGAAGGTGGCTCAGTGATAGAGTGCTTGCCATGCATGCATGAGGCCCTGGGTTCGATTCCTCAGTACCACTTAAGCAGAAAAAGCCAGAAGTGGCGCTGTGGCTCAAGTATCAGAGCGCTAACCTTGAGCTGAAGAGCTGAGGGACAGCGCCTAGGCCCAGAGTTCAGGCCTACGACCAACAAAGTGTGTCTGGTAGTGAGAGGAGCCTATGGATAAAGAATGGTCTTGAAGTCCCTGGGGGTGCTGTGGTGAATGGCCCAAGCTCTCCCCCCCAAAATGAGTCATGAAACTTCTCAGATCTGTCAGCACTCACCTGCCACATCCCAGAATGCTTCCGCCTCCCTCCTCTCCTTCCCCTAAGTCTTGGGAATTCTCTGGCAGGAGACATTGCCAAGGAAGCCACTGGCATCTCTGTTGTCTGGCTCTGCTTAGAATGGTTGTCAGCTTTGTTGCTTTTCCTGGGATCTTTGGAAGCCAGTTAGCCTTGGAGGTCTCATTTTAGAGATGGGGAAGGTTCAGAGAGAGAGAGAGAGAGAGAGAGAGAGAGAGACCACTGTTGTCTTCCTTCCTCTTTCTCCCACATCAGCCCTCATTCCAGACTCTGCTGGAACATGCACCTGCCACGTGGCTCTGTGGGGCTAGAAGGCCTTGTGAAGCCCTGATCACCTTAGCCTTCTATTTTCCCCGTGTTTATTGAGCTTCATGCTGCATGGGATGATTCCTCATCTAGTGCCATTGAGACTAGAGTTAGAGACGCTGCCTTGTATGCAGGCTGGGGCCTAGAACATGGGGTTAACAATCTGTGCCATCCGTTAAGAGCTCAAAGCACTCAGAGTGAGCATGTTACCTACCTAGGATTCCACGTCTTTGTTTGGAATGTGGGAATACGTTCTGTTTCCTGAGACTCTGTGCCCAACGATTGAGAGATGCTGTTTATAGACTGCAAGCCATCATCAGTGCCAGCGTTGGTGTGGATCTTTTCTCTCCAGGAAGAGACTCTGCCTTCTCCTTCCTTCCTGGCCTCCTCAGCCATGTTTAGGAAAGTATTAGGTGATGCATATTTAGTAAAGCCCTTCAGGGAAGACCTTGCTAGTGACTGGTTATAATACTCCAGGCTGGTCTAGTCATTGGGCCTGGGGTAAGTGACAATAGAGGGAGCTTGGGCTTGGGCTGTGGAGAAAGATCAACAGAACTGGAGGATGAAAAGTAAACTGGATTTAAAAACCAAACTGCAGCTAATGGCTGTAGGTGGTGTTAGTCATTCTGTTATAAGAAATTTGGGAATACATATGCATGCTAATAGGAATTTATTTTGGCTGCTTCTTAGAGTAGCATTTGGGAAGGAAGGCAGGGTAGAGGATACCAGCCACCACGGAGGTAAAAGGTCTCACCCTGCATGCCTAGTGCATATACTCCAGCACTGGACCTCGTTCTTGATGATACATTATCCACACTCCACACACACACACACACACACACATACACACACACACACACACACACACACACACACACACACACACACACACACACTGTGGTCAGCCGGCTGGAAGCTGAGTGAATGAGCGCTAAGCAGCTTCCAGGTCATAGAATACATGCCCAGTGACTTACCATCTCTTTGAGGCCCCTGGCCAGCACACATGCAATCCAGTACTTTGGTCACCATGAGTTAAGAGAAACATCTGGAACTCCAGGGACTTCGAGTTGTACCCCTTCTTTTATAGAAGTAGGTTTGAAAGTCCCTGTTTTGTGATTCCATGACTTCAGGCAGCTGGCTCTGTTCCACGAGGTAAACTGAGCCTCACACTGAATTTTGAGGCAATCTCCTCTTCTGTTTTTCATACATAGCGGAAGAATCTATGAGAAGTATGCTTTGGACTGGGGTCAAAACTCAGGACTATTCCTCCCTCTCTTCAGGCTGAGCATCTCTCTAGCTCCAGCCCCTCTGTGACCAGATTACATTTAGCAAGTGGGTATTGATCAGCCCCATGCCCAGAAGGGTGAACAGCCACCAAGCCAAGGGATACAGATGACAGGGCAAGGCTGGAGGGGGGGGGGGCGGGGAGAGCAGGTAGCTTGGAAGGCAGGTGGCCTGAGCATAGGAAATTCCTGCTGGGGAGCAGAGGGAGCTTGAATTTTCTTCATATCAGGGTTTGGGGGGGAGGTCACACTGAAGGATGTCAACCAGGCCTGTTATACAGCATGGCACACAAGGCAAGCTCCATCATTCCCACTGTACAGTGGTGTGAAGAGCACCTGCTGGGCACCCTGGGAAAAGAAATCACTCATCAGTCCTTCCTTTGGGAGTTTGACTCCCAAACAAAGAAGTATGTAAAGAAGGACGAAAGTGTTCAGACCCTCAGCCCAGTGGTTCTACCTCAAGGGGTGTCTAACCTGAGCAAAGAAACAAGAATGCCAGCAAAGACGTGGGCACAAAGATGTTCATCACAGAGTTATTTAGAAGAATAGAGATGGAGGAGAGTCCATCATTAGAATGACTTGTGTGTGATGGCTTTCTCTCTCTCTCTCTCTGAAGGAATTTCATGGCTCACCTCTGTGGCCAGTAATGGTAACAACAGGCAGGTCTCCTTCCCCCAATGCTGGGCTTGCAGAAGGAACCAAGAAACCTTCACGATCCATGTAAGAATTACTTAGTGATTTCCCATGTAAATTGTTCTTGACTTCTCGGCTTCCGGAGATGGATCTGAACACCCATTCATCTGCCATGTGTGCCCAGGGGTACTTAGAGCCAGAAGACTTGAGGGCACACATCCAAACCCTTTAGGGGGAAGGATTTGCCAAATAACTTTTTACACAGCTTCACTGTGCAGAGCCACACCTTTCTCCTTCAAGCTTTCCAGAGTTCCAGCCAGGAAGGATTTGTCTTTAAGGCTCTGCAGCATATGTGCCCAGTTCCCCTGGACACACCCATGGGGCGGTGCCTAGTACAGCGTGTGGCTATTAGCTAACAGCCAGGCCAGGTGCCCCACCTATGTGTGCAGAGACAGATGACAGACAGAAGACAGGGCCTTAGGTTACAGGTGCATCCAGCAGAGCCAGTCCTGAGCTGCAGAGACACGGACACACGTCCCATGTGCCTCCCTGTGGGTAACCAGGACAGGTGCAAAGGCCCTGTTAGCCACCAGGAGGAAGGAGATAGATTGAGACATTCAGCCTGTGCCTGGATTGATGTACTAGCCCGAGCACCAGCAGGGCTCTAGACAATTGATTTCTGTCTGTGGCTAAGGTACAAGCGCTTCTCAGGACCCTGACCAAGTGGAGCCCAGCTCTACCTTCTCCAAGAACTGGTGGGCTGGGGGGAGGAGGGGGGAAATCAACTGTCACCCCCCCCCCCCCCCGGCATCCCTGCATAAAATCTCCACTACCTACCATGGGCCTAAGACTACGCGCTTTGTTTTACTCTGGGCCTCAGTTTCTTCCTCTGTCAAATGGAGCTTCTAGGGAGATCAAATAGCAGAGTCGTGAAGACTTGAGGTCCAGACCCTGTGTGTCCAGTCGGATTGCCGTAAATAATCAGGAAAAGTCCAAACGTGTGTGCACGCACCCGGGCGCCCGCCGTGCTTTTCGTTGGTCTCTCGCTAGGGTGCGGCATCTGAGTTGGCTCCGGGGCCCCGGTGGGCGCGCGGCTGCTCGCGTCCCCCGCCCCTGGCCCCCCGGCCGGCGCGCTCGGGTTTTCCTCCGGCAGGCGGCGGGCTCCCGGCTTTCCCTGCACGAGACCCTAGGCGGCGGCCCGGGAGCCGGCTGCAGCATCGCAGCCGGGCGGCGCGGGGCCGCCGTGCGCAGGGGCTGCGCGCGTTACCGGGCTGCGGAGCCTGAGCCTTGCTCCTGGTTTGCGGGCGCCCCGACCCGCCCGCCCGCCCACCCGCCTTGGCCTCGCGGCCCAGCCCATTTTGCCCCGCCGAGAGGACCCTGCAAGCGGCCCTCGGCGTCCCAGTGCCAACCCTGCCCGGCTCGTGAACACCTTGGGTCTCAGAGGCCGTGTGGATCGACCCTGGGCGGCAGGCCCGGAGGCGGCTGGGCGCCCAGGCGCTGGTTCCGGCGTCTTGCAGCTCCTCGGGCTGCCACTGGGGGCTGCCACGCCGGGGGGGGTGGGGTGGGGGGTGGGTGGGGGGGGAGACGGTGCGCACGGCCGCCCGGTTCCCCCGTGCCGCCAGCCCCCGGGCTCTCTCCACTGAGGGCCGGGCGCTGCGCAGCCCTTCCTGGATCAGTGCGTGTGATCGGCGTGTGTGTGTGTGTGTGTGTGTGTGTGTGGTGTGTGTGTGTGTGTGTGTGTGTGTGAGAGAGAGAGGACCCAGTGCGCGCACGCGTGGGGGCAGTGTGTGTGCGCGCGCGGGGGAGTGTGTGTGCGCGTGTGGGTGTTCGTGCGTGGCTCCCCTCGCTGACACACGCACACGCCGATCACACACACACACACACCGATCTCACACACACACTGATCACATTGAACTTGGAGACACCCCGCTTTCCTAGCTGCTCCCCGTTCCCGGGAAAGCCCCGGGAAGCTCTTAGATCTGGAAAATCCTGCCCGCGTCTTCCTAAGAAGAGATTATCTTTCCTTTACCGGGGTTTATTGTTTATTTATTTATTTTAATCTGGAAGCGAAGAGAACAAGTTGTGCCCCCTCCCCTTCTTTCGCCGATCGCCATGGATATAAGTGCATAAGCCGCCGGAGCTCTGTCCCCGCCTGGACGTCGGCGGCCACCATCTGCCGGCCTGCGCCCGCCCGGAGAGCCGCAGGGCTTCGCTCCAGCCTGAGTCGGGCCCGGGAGAGGATGCGCGGCCGAGCCTGGGAGCCCGGGCGCCCCGCGGAGCCGGCCTCGGAGCCTCCCAGCCGGGGGTAGATGCTGCCCTGCCCAGGTGAGTGTTTGGGTGGGGGGTGCGGCAGCCAGCTGGGGGGAGACCCCAGGGGTGCGGACGGGCGCGGGGCGCGGGGATGCCACGCACCCAAGGGAACGGAGGAGAACTTCGCACCCGTTTCTCGGAGGACTCCCCTCATCCTGGGAACTCGCGTGGACGCCCTCTCGTCTTTATATCCATCCCGATCGCCAGCGGTTTTCTTCTCTTTCTCGGGTTTTTATTTATTTATTTTAATAGTGTGTGTGGGGTGGGGGTGGGGGTGAAACTCTGGCCGGGAGCCGGGACCAGGGGATCCAAGGAGAGACCAGGAGCCTCTGGCATTCCGAACCATTGAAAGCAGCCGGAGAACTTTGCCGCCAGACCACTCTGTTGCATCTCCACACATGCCAGGCCTGGTTGGAACCGTGGCTGGGGTCCGGGTGCAGCCAGGGGCTCGGGTGCATACCAGGGGCTCTCCAAGCTGTGTGGCTGGGCGGGGTGGGGTAGAGGCACGCGGGGAGGGCTTGATGCAGCAAGAATGGAGGGCAGCACGGCGTGATGCAGCCTGGAGAGGCAGGTAGGACAGGCCCCCAGGACAAGACAGGGAAAGCAGGATAGTGTGTGTGTGTGTGTGTGTGTGTGCGCGCGTAGCCTAGACCATTCCAATGGCATGATGGAGCAGTATGGAAACAGGCATTAGCCATGCATGCCCTGGTTGTAGGTAGGTCTCTGTCTCCCACCCAACCCTGCCCTGGTTCCAATGTTGGCCTGGGTACTTGGGTAAGGGACAGGTCCATGGCAGGGCCACAGTCTGCTCTGGGCAGACAGGCAGTGCCTGGCGTCTGCACACACCTCACAGGGAGTGTCTAGCCCATCTTCCTGACAGCTCAGTACAAAGGACAGAGGCAGTGAGTTCCAGGGAGAGGAGCTAGGGAGGGAGGGGAGAGAGAGAGGAGAGAGAGGAGAGAGAGAGAGAGAGAGAGAGAGAGAGAGCGTCTGAGCAGAGCCTGCAGCAGGTCTGAGCCAGACCAATGCAAGTACATCCAGTATCAGACACAGAAAGACAGACAGACAGCTGCAGGGAAAGGGTGCTTATCAGAACCTGTATTCTGGGGGTAGAGTTACAGGACAGGCATGACGGTACATGGTGAGCCTCTGCCCTGACCACAATGGAATGGGAGTGTGTGTGAGTGTGTGTGTGTGTGTGTTTGTGTGTGTGTGTAGGTGGCAGTTGTGGCCTGATTGGCCTTGTGGGGCTGAAGGAAGGGGCAGCTTAGGGAACTGAGTTCCAGGCTAGGGAGGGCCGCATCTGGGGAGGACAGCACCCCTTCTTCGGCTGTGGGCTTCTCCACACCAGAGCAGAGGTTCCAGATGGACTGCTGTATGGGGGGGGGGGGGGATCTGGTGGTGGGGATTTGAAAGGCGGTGGGGGCGGGGGGAGCGGTAAGGAGAAGCATAGGAGCCAGGTCTTGGAGCTGTGCCTTGGTCTGGTGGCTTCCTTCGGCAAGACGCTTCATACGGAGATGCGGCAGAGCCTGGAGAGAGGGCAGTCGGACTTACCATGGGGTCTTTCAGAGGCGGAAGGGGCCAGGGTTGTAAAGGGGTTATAAGAAGCTCCTGAAGGCCTGTCCATAGAGCCACCAGTCTCCTGGGACCTCGCTGGCCCGCCAGCCTCTCAGCTGATGCCGGAATGTCAGCCTTCCTTCTGCTGTTGGCTGGGAGAACAGAGTTTTATCCCTCTCCTCCAGCCCTCCTCCCTTGCTTCTGCTCAGGCCCCTGCCCAGCTCTCAATCTCAGAGTTTCTGGTCTAATTCTTGCCCAGGGAAGGTAATTACTTATCTTCCTGCCCTCACCCTGGGGAATGCAAACAGCGGACTTGGCATTTCTGGTGCAGCCTCTGGCAATGCTTCTGCTTCCTGGGAACCAGTTCCCAGGGGCAGCCTCAGAGAAGGACCAGGCCGGCCATGGTCTGAGGGAGGCTGGGGCTCCGGCCTTCCCCACCCCACCCCACCCCAAGAAATGTGAGAAGTTAGGGATTCTGGTCTGAGGTGGGAGGAGCTTTCTGGAAATCAGGCTGAGAAAGTGGAGAGGAAGAATGCCGATCTGGGGGTTCGGGGGTGAGAACAAGCCAGGCAGACTTCTGGCCTCCGCAGATCTCATTTAGCTCAAGAGGGATTGTCCTTTCTTAGTCCGGTCTGACTCCATAGAAAAATCCAGGACTCAAGGGTTCTGGCTTCCAATTGCTGGCTTGCCAATCTCCTCTATTCTGTAGGCTGGGGAAATAAAGAGACTTTAAGCCCCTGACCTGAAGTCTGTCTGTGAAGGAGACAGCTGAGAAGTGACATTGGAATTAGCACTGTCTTCAGAAAGTCCTGCCATAGGGATAAACACAGTCATTGATATCTAGTTACAGTCTGGTGTGTGTGTGGTGTGTGTGTGTGTGTGTGTGTGTGTGTGCGCGCGCACGCGCGTGTGTGTGAAATGGCTAGACTGAGAGCAGAGACAAGCAAATAGCCACTCAAGAGGGTCAAGTGGACACGATTCTGTACAAGAGCAACAACAGTAATTTGGGTATCTGGTGATTTCCTCCCCCCACCCCTTTTAAGGCAATATTAGGGTTCACATCATGTGAGACAGAAAAGAGGTTGTCATGAAATGGAATAAAATTTGGGAAGGCCTAGTTCTGGCTCGGCTACATCTTGTTGAGCACTTGAGCTCCTGGTGAAATGAACCAATAGCACGTGTCCGGCAGGTGTGTGATGCATTCGGTGTTTTCTGGGCCACCCTTTCTCATATCTGAAGGGGGCTCAGCGTGTACAGGGAGAGGCCGAGGGACCTTTAGAGAAGCTAGAGGATGATGTGCCTGGTCCCCCCCATTCATCCAGTGTCTGGATGCCACCACCAGCACATTGATGGTTAAAAGACTCCAGGGAGCTTTCCAGAACACTTAAAGAATGGAGAGCAGAAGAGAAAATTTCACTGGGGCCAGAATGGGGAGGGGGGGGGCGGGGAGGAGGAGGGGCTGGCACCTGCTTCTCTTCCCATCTCTGTGTGTTTGCTTTGGAGTTTTATTGTCATGCACATTTGCTCAGGAAGTAGAGGCTCTGTGTTTGAGGAGTGTCATTTGTTCCCCTCTCCTGTCTGAGGCTTGAGTGTGAAATAACCCTGACCTTCTGGTCCCTGCCTCCTACTCATCTAAATGTGCCCTCCCGGGAGTGCTGGGCAGCAGATCCAGGCACTGTGAAAGGACACAGATCCCCCTTCTCCGAGTCTGGGCAGGCCTGGGGGTGGATATGGGCCCAGTCTGTGGGTTTAAGGTGGTACATTTGGTCTCTGGGAGGGGCTTGGCCCCAGATGAGTGCTGAGAAGATTCTCTGTTGAGCCAGCTGGGGGAGGGATGGGGGAGGCCATGGAGTGGTCACGGGCGGGCCTGAAAGCAGGTTGTTTTATTTCAGAGAGCAGGAAATCAGGTCTAAAAACAGGAAAGGCAGCCATGCCCACAGCCTGCTCTGCGTGAGGGTAATCCGGAAGCCCTCCAAGAGTTGGTGAGGCTGTCAGGAGCAGCCAAAGCCCCTCCAGACCAATCACAGGAGAGGTTTGTTTTCTTTTTAAACACCCAGCTGTCACTGGGGACTTGGAGAGTGGGACTTGGAACTTCCTTGGGCTCCCAGAACCAGCTCCTTCCCACAATGCTTGCTGGTTTATGGGGCGCCAGACAGTGCTCAGGGCATCCACTGATGCCCCTCTGAACCCCCACCATGCTTCCCTATTGCCAGGTATGGGCTCCATTTTACAGATGAGCAAACAGAGAGGCTGGGCCCAGCCTGCCGGGTGCCCAGCTAGCACCAGCTAGCCCTCAGTGCTCATGTCTATCTGACCCTAGAATTCACCCTCTTAACCCCTCTACATGACCCCTCCCACCACGGTGAGGAATGGGGCTCCCATGGGCACCTCGCTGAGCCCCACAGGGGCCTCCTGGTCTGTCTGGGGAGGAAAATCCAGAGTTCACATCAGAGAGCCATGCCCAGCCTTCCCTGTGGGTGTTCTTCACCTCTGTGGGTTTAAGAGACCCACGGAGCAGTCAGGATGAGGCCATGAGCTAGACGGCGGGTGGGACACCTGGAATGAGTGCTGGACTCCAGGCAGGGACCTACGTCTGCTTCATCATAACCTGGGTGGAGGCAGCCCCCAGCACCCTGAGATCTGGTCTCCCTGCATGAGTTGTAAGGTTGTAAGGCCTGGGCATTGTAAGACAGTGGGCATTGTGCCTGTCTAGGGCAGAGGTGGTCCAGGGCTGTAGGAGGGACCAGAGCAGTACTGGTGGGTGGAAGAATTCTAGGTGGCATCTGGGAGGACACTGAGGTCTACACCAGACTTCCATAATCACGTGGCTGTCACCAACGGAGGAGGCCACAGGTGGTTTTTCTCATTTCGTTATCGCTCCCTTGAAGAGACTTTTCAGAAACTTTCCCTAGTTATACCTCCTGGGAGATTTGGGGGTTTTATATTGAGGTGTTTTGTTTTGTTTTTGTTTTGTCGGTCATGGGGCCTGAACTCTGGGCCTGGGCGCTGTCCCTCAGCTCTTCAGCTCAAGGCTAGCAACTCTACCACTTGAGCTATAGCACCACCTCCAACTTTTTCTGCTTATATGGTGCTGAGGAATCGAACTCAGGGCTTCATGCATGCAAGGCAAGCACTTTACCACTGAGCCCCTGTATTGAGTTTTGAACTCAGGGTCTTCTGCTTGCTACACTGCTGCTCTACTATTGAAGCTACGCCCTCAGCCTTGTACTTTTTTTTTTTTTTTCTTTTGCTGGCTATTTTTGGGACAGGGACTCAACTTCTTAGCTGGACCAGCCTGATCCACAATCTGCCCACTTTTAGACTTTGTTGTGTTGCTGGGATCACAGGTGCACACCATTGGGTTTAGCTTCCCTCTGGAGAGGCAAGAGTCTTGTGGTGGACTTTTCTGCCTAGAATGGCCTCAAACCTCAGTCCTCTTGACCTCAGCCTAAGTAGCC